GTGGAGCTTCTGCATCAGTAAAGTGCCCAGACAATGCTGGCTGTCAATCACCTCTGATCAGTTCCTGGGGTCATAGGCTGCAGGCTGGCTGGGGCGGGGGTGGGGGGTGTAGGGAAGTGTGGACTGAGATCTGAACCCTTCTTGTGTGGAGGTGTAGAGCCTGAGGTTTGGGGTGGGGCTGACCGCTCCCTCCACACCCAGGAGCACTGGTCTCCTGAGAAGCCCTTGCATTGAGATGGTCCCAGAGTCCTGACGCTGCCACTCTGTGGTTCTAACTCCAACTCCTTGTCTCTGTCTGAGTCAGCCCCCCCCCCCCAATGTGGAGGTGACTCAGGGAGACAAAGCCCAAGCCACACCCTGTTCTGGGTGATCAGGAGCCTTATCCTAGGGCCCCGGTTTCTTGGGGGTGCTCCCTGCCCCCTTCCTGAGAACCCCTCAGCCTCTCGAGAAAGAGGAGGCTGGGGGCTTCAGGGATGGAGGAGAGAAAAGAACAGGAGCTGAGCTGAGAAAACAAGACACGGCTCCAGGGCGGCCACTTGACATGGAAGGGGAATCAGCCATTTCCAAAGTCAGCGCCTGGGCTGCCTCTCTGCTCCAGCCCCAGCCAGGTCCAGGCTCGGAGATTAGATGTGGAGCCCCAAGGCTTACTTTGGGTAGCTGTTTGTTGTTTGGCAAATATGTGGGTGGTGGTGGGAGGCAGCCTGCTGGAGAGTCAACACTGACACAGATAATGAAAGACATGAACAGAGATTCTGGAGGTACAAACACAGAGACCAGGAGACCCTAGACTCAGCGTGGGATGTGACTCCAGTGGGTGAGGTTGCACAGGGGGAGGTTGAGGGGAACACCCTGGGGATGGGGGACACTGGCCTGGGGTAGCCCTGGCCTGCTGCTGCTGCGGTCCACCAGCCTGTGGGATGCATCTGTGATGGATGCTTCCTGAAAGCAGGAGGGGAGGGGGGGGGCGGGGGGGGGGTACACATGTCCAAACAGCTCCAAATCCAGGCCTTGACTGAAGGCCAGCTTTCCTCATGAGTGTCCTAGGCCAGGTCTCTCCTGAACCTCCATGCTCTCATCCACCCAATGGGATCTGGGTTCTGCTGTGGCGTGCCAGGTGCCACACAGATAGTTCCTCACTCCCTCCTTCTACTGTTGTGAACAAAAGGAGCCTCTTGTCCAAGCAGGAAAAAATGGACTAGTTGGTGATTCAAAAGTCCCTCCTGTACTTTTATTAGATCTTTTGGGGATAGGATTCATGGTTCTTTTGATGATCAAGGCCTCCACAGAAGTCTGACTTGGTTTTTACTTGCACTGAACAAATCTGAGCTAGGCTTGATTGTGGTACACCTATAATCCCAACTACCGGGAGGCAGAGATCAGGATTGCAGTTCAAGGCTAGCTAGCCACGATGAAAAGTGATCGAGGGGCTGGGAAGGTGGCTCAGTGGTAGAGTGTTTGCCTTGCATGCACAAGGCCCTGGGTTCTATTCCTCAGCACCACATAAGCAGAAAAAGCCAGAAGTGGCTCTGAGGCTCAAGTGATAGAGTGCTACCTTTGAGCTGAAGAGCTAAGGGACAACTCCCAGGCCCAGAGTTCAGGCCCCATGACCAACCAAAAACAACAACAATAACAACAAAAAGCACAAGAACCTCTGTGAAAATAACTAAAGCAAAAATAAAAACCAAAAACAAGGCAGAAGGGAAATGGCTCACGTGGTAGAGCACCTGCCTTGCAGGCCCATGAGTTCAATCCCCAGTACTTCTGATTTAAAAACAAAACAAAAACCCCTGAGCAGCAGCAAGGATAGTTCTGGATTGAACGTTTAGAAATCCTTGGGTACCAGGCTGACCAGACCCTCCCAGGTTTGTGGTAAACCCGCCCAGTTCTCCCGACGGCTCCCGGCACAAGTGGCAGTGGAATATAACCGCAGTGGCTGACCTCACCCACATGGGCCAGCGAGCTTGCAAACACGCAGGGCCCTAGGGGCAGGCACCACGCTCCTTCCCACAGATCTGGAAGCATGGCCACACGGATGGGAGGTCCTCTGCTCGGCCATCAGCCCGCCCTGGGCTTCCCGTGGTGGTGCTTGTGCTCTAGGCCACAACAATGGCCACCACCGTCCAGCAACCAAGATGGCTACCAACAGGTCACATGTTCAGTGTGGCTGCACTGGACAGAGAGAGGAGCCCCAAAGAAAAGCTCGGGATGGAACACCTATGTCTTGCTTTGTTTCTGGAACTTTCCATGGGACATTTTCAGATCACAGTTTACCTGGGGCACTGGAAACCAATGGCAAAGGGAGCCATGGGCAAAGGGAGGAGTGTGGTCCTCTCTCCCCGCCCCCCCAACCGCCACCACTGTGGCTCATGCCTAAGCCTGGAGTAGGACGTGTCACCTTTGGGGGGGTGGGGGGCTTTTCAAAGTTCTTCTCCAGCGACAGCCCGGGGCATCATGAGTCTACCTGGGAGGCGTCCTGGGAGGCACTTCCACATTACAAATAAGGAAACTGAGGCACAGGGAGTCATTTTTCCCCAAAGCCACTCTTGGCTTGCTAGAGCTAGAATCAGATCCCAGGCTTGTCTGGTTCTGGGCTTCTCGCCCCTCTATCCGGCTGCCCTGTTAACACTCGGAGGCTGGGAGAGCCTCCGGCCTTCTCTTGACAATGAAGATTTTAAACCCCGTCAGCCCTGCAGCTGGGTAAGGGGGTGCACGCGGGGTCAGCCCGCATCAGCTTGTGCATCAGGATCCTGATGCCCAGCCTGGTACCCCGGGGACGGCCAGTGTTCATAGCAGCCCAGGGACGAGCTCGGGGTGCCAGCTGGTTCTAGGATCCACAGGGAGCGTCAGGTGCCATCCTTGCCCTCTTTTTTTGGTTGGTCGTGGGGCTTGAACTCTGCGCCTGGGCGCTGTCCCTCAGCTCTTCACCTCAAGACTAGCGCTCTACCACTTGAGCCACAGCGCCACTTCCAGTTTTCTGGTGGTTTACTGGAGATAAGAGTCTCATGGCCTTTCCTGCCAGGGCTGGCTTTGAACCGCGATCCTCAGATTCAGCTGGCGATCCTTGGCCTCTTGAGGCCGGGTCACGCTCACCCCTTGCACCTCCAGCCTCCAGTGGCTCAGGTGTCTTCCGAGGGGCCTGGAGATGGGAGACAGGCTCAACCGATTTCCAATTCTGCTTCTGCTGCTTTCTGGACCAAGGCAAGCCTGGGGAAGAGGGGCACTGTCCTTCAGGCCCTTCAGGGAGAGGCCCCTGGGAGAAGGAGGCCGGTGACAGCGGCCCCCGATGTCCTCTGGGGATAGGGGACCAGGCAGGCAGCTCTGAGTGGCCTCTGACCACCGGCCGTTGGTGGCTATGGAGAGGGGCCTGGTTTGGGGGGTGGGGGGGTGGATGAAAAGAGGCCGGACGACATCCCAGCCACAGCACGCAGAGACCGCCTCATCCACCCTCCCTCCCAGGCTAGAAAGGGGAAGGCAGCCCAGACCGGGAAGTGGTGGCTTTGGGTGACCACCTCATGGGGACCGCGCCAGCCCGAGCAGGAAGCGGCTAGCCCGACCCAGGCCCGGCCTGAGCTCACACTTGGGGAACAGCTGGCCCAAAAGTCCCCTGCCGTCAGGCCTGCGCTGGGAGCAGTGCTTTATTCTTAGAAACCCCACTCCAGCCATGACCCCCCCCCCAAGCTTTGTGGTTGGGGGTCTGCAGACCCCGGTTCTCAACCTGCCTCTGCTACTTCCTTCCCCAGGCAATGAGGCTTTGGCCCAGCAGCTTCCCTGTCTAGGTTAGTTCCTCGTCTGCTCAGGCCTACCTGTGTCTCCCCTCCCCCCCCCCACACACACACCAAGGGACAGGGACAATGCATAGTCCTGGAGGGTCACAGCCGGAAAGTCCCCCAGGGAGTCTCACCGAGGCTGACACAGGCTGGAGAGGCGCCAGGGAAGAGCATGGACTAGAGGCAGGAGCTGCCTCTCTCAGCTCCCTTCTAGAGGGACTAGCAATCAGGTCCACCAGCCGCTGGGCCTTCTCTCCGCCAGAGCGTTCTTTGCCCCCCAGGGCTGGCGTGTGGCCCACCTCAAACACTGTGGGCAGACACGCTTTCCCAGCTGTGCACACGAGGGCTTCTGACCAGAGTGAGATCAGAGCTTCCAGGCTGTAGGCTGGCGCTTGTCTGTGCCCACCCTGGGTGCCCCGACAAGGGTGGTTTGCGGGCCCCAGAGAAGCCACGTCTCATGCTTGTCTTAAGCCCCATGTCCTCTCCCCTCCCCCCACCTTGGGTGAGAGGTGACAAATCTCTTTTCCTGATTCCACAGAAGCTCTGGCAGCTGCCAGGGTGAGGATGGCACCTGGCCCACATCACTAGCCCGAGACGCCATTTCCTTGACACCCACTCCAGCTCGTGGCTTCCCCCCACCCAGACCCACCCTTCCGGCAGGCGCAGAGCCCTCCCGGGACCCTGGGGCCCAGTGGTCTCCGTGCCATGGCAGGTGTGGGGGGCAAGGCTGGGCTGGAGCAGCTGCCCCTCCGTGCCACATCTCCCGGGTAGTCAGCCCAGCCCTGTCCCAGCCTGAGCTTCGAGAGGAGGAGAGAGCGGCCACAGAGGGAAAGCTAGCCCACGAGAGACAGCTGGAACCCCGAATGACACGCAGATTTAAGGGGCAACGTTGTGTGTGGCTGTGTGTGTGTGCCTGTTCTCGTACTCTGATGGATGGTGGAGATTTTGTGAATAGGTTAGAGGCAAAGAAAGTGCAGGAGCAGCAGCCATTCTCCCTTCCCCCAATTTATAGTGAGGAAACTGAGGCACGGAGATGACAGGCTTCACGGTTCTGACAGCCAGAGTGCAGAGTAATTGGTGTGCCATCGCCACCCCTTTTCACACTCGTACGTGTCCTGACAGTGCTCACAGGTTGCTGCCGACCTGTCCAAAACAGTGACGGCTGCAGGGGCGAGACAGGCTTGCTCAGAGGAGTCAGCCCAGGTTAGGCCCTGAACCAAGACCCAGAGCTCCATGACCCCAGCACCACCTCTAGCACCACCCCCCATACTACCTCTGCTACTTCCCACCACCACCATCGCCATCTCTACCTTCACCACCACCACCATCACCACCACCACTGCCCCCACATTACCACCACCATCCCCATTACCACCATCTCCACCATCACCACCACCACTGCCCCCACATTACCACCACCATCCCCATTACCACCATCTCCACCATCACCACCACCACTGCCCCCACATTACCACCACCATCCCCATTACCACCATCTCCACCATCACCACCACCAAAATCAGCAGCACTGCGCATGGACTATTTCGGGTCCTGCAGGACCCCGTGAGGCAGGTTGGGTTATGAACCCTGTTTCCTAATGGGGGAGGTGAAAGGCCTGCCCAAGGTCAGGCAGCCAGGAAATGACAAGGCCCGGTTTTGAAGCCAGCCATTGCAGCACCAGAGCCCATCCTCCTCACCCCTGCACTAAAGCTCAAGTGTGTGAGGCCCAGTGGCAATTCCCTTGTGGCCCACGCCAGGCTGTATCCCTTCCCAGCCTACCATGACACTGGGTACACAGCAGGGGCTCACTAAGTGTGGGCTCAATGAGTTCATCGGTAAGCCTGGCTGCTATCAGTCTGCTCCTGGAACCTCTCCCTGAGCCACCATAGGAAGCAGCCACAGAAGCTGTAGTTCCGCTGCCAGTCAACAGAGGGCAGCATTCCTAATAGGGTACAAACTTCCAATGGCAGGCAGGAAGAGTGAATTGGGAGGAAACGAAGGCCATCCTGCTTCGTGGCAGGCATGAACAACAGTTATTGACCCAAAGCAGGCTGAGACAGCCCTCGGGGGACATCGTGGCTAATGCTTGCCGCTTGACAGTTGAGGTAACAGGACCAGAGAGAAGCAAAAGATCACACAACCAGAGAATGGTACTGCAATCCAAGTCTCCTGGGTTCTTTCCCCACACATTCACAGGATGAGGCAGGCCCCAGAACAAGGTTAAAAGTTATTAGCCATGCCGGACCGCAGGGCTCACGCCTATGACCCTAGCTACTCAGGAGGCTGCGATCTGGGGATCATGACTTGGAGCCAGCCTGAGCAGGAAAGTTTATGAGATTCTTATCTCCAATTAAACACACACACACATACACACACATACACACACACACCGACCATAAAACCCATAAGTGGAGCTGTGGTTCAAGTGGTAGAGCACTAGCCTTGATCAAAAAAGCTAAGGGACAGTATCAAGGCTGGAGGTCAATCTCCAGTACTGGCATCATCATCATCATCATCATCGTCATCATCATCATCGTCATCATCATCATCATAGCAGCCAGGAGCAACACCCACCCCCTACACCCCCTACGTGTAGCCAGGACACCCCCTGGTGGTGATGGCTGGCAGCATCTAGAAACAAGGTCCCAGGTTTGCTCATCCATAAGTCTGAAGGACACTTCTCTATCTCAGTGGTCCAGGTCTGGGCCAAGGCTGTTAAGAGTCATGGGAGCATGAATACCAGGGACTAACAGGTCAATGGATAAGTCAAGATGGCTTCAGGGATAGAGAACAGAGCTTGTGTCCCTGCCTAGGTGCATGGCCCAGACTGAGCATGCTCTTCCTCTCCCAGGTCACACTGTCCTATGGGGCAGGTCAGATTCTTCCTCACGGGCAGCTGAACAAACCAACAGCTGATGAAACATTGTCGCTGCGCCCACACTGGCTGAATCAAGGCAGGGGCTTGTTCAGCTGCCTCCGGCAAGCCACAGCTCTGAGTGAGTGGGGTTGGCCTGGCCTAGAGTGATCTTGGAAGGCTCCCCAGAGGAGGTGTGGTTCTATCCATTCAGACAATATGTGGCACCTTCTGATTATGTCATTCATTGATGACAAAAATCACAACAGCAAGTATCTTGTGTGTGAGAGAGAGAGGCGGGGGAGAGGGAGAGAGAGGGAATGAATCTTGGGGCCAAGGTGCTATCCCTGCATTTGTTTTGCTCAAGGCTAGTGCTCTACCACGTTAGTCACAGCTCCACTTCTGACTTTTTGGTTGGGCTGATTTTGAACCCTGATCCTCATATCTCAGCCTCCTGAGTACATAGCATTACTGTACAGGCATGAGCCACTGGTACCTGGCCTGCAAATACCTTCCTTTAAATACTTGGTGATAGGTGCTGTGGTTTAAGTACTTCACATGGATCAATTATTCATTCATACACATAACAAATATTTACTGCACACATCTTATGCTTTCCTGTGCTAGATCCTGGGTCACGACAGTGGACAAGGCCCACAGAATTCCTGTCCTCATTAAGCTTTTATATTCTGGGCAACTGGGAAAAACAGCAAATAAAATAATAAGTAAAAGACACAGTGTGCTTCTGAGGAGAGAGCAATCCACTCAGAGGAAACAGCAAGGCAAACGCCCTGGGGCAACTGTTCCTTTGATTCATTTCTATAACTCCAGGGTTATAAAGCACTTTGGTTTTTAATTTCATAGATTCCCATCTTAGGGGAGAAGTAGGGCAGATGGAGAAACTAAGGCCCAGGAGGTTCATGTTCAAGGTCACAGAGTTACTCAGTGAAAGAGTTGGAATTCAGACTCCAGTTTCTGCTTCCTGTGACACAGCCCTTTAAAAAGTGGCTTAAGGTACTCTATTTTCTACACAGTGTCACCCATTGGTACTCTGGGGCTAAGGACCTCTCCCGCAAAAGAAATGGTTGCAGAGCAACTGGACCAGAAGGACCAGTCCATTTTCTTACCTCCACCGGATGGATGGATGCAGAGTGCTGGTCTTTCAGCTGTGATGGCCACCTTCCCACCTCTGGGTCCCCACCCGAGTGAAGGAGCTCTGCTGCTCACAGAGGCTGGGGCCTCGCCAGGCTGGCAGGGGAGCATGGCCACCAGACATCAGTGACTGAGGCTGCCCTGCTATGACTGCCCGGCAGCCCGAGGCCAGTGCCTGGCCAAGGTCGGAGCCTGGCCAAGGTCGGAGCCTGGCCAGGGTCGGCGCCTGGCCAGGGTCGGCGCCTGGCCAGGGTCGGCGCCCGGCCAAGGTCAGAGCCCCGCCAAGGTCGGCGCCCCGCCAAGGTCGGCGCCCCGCCAAGGTCGGCGCCCGGCCAAGGTCAGAGCCCCGCCAAGGTCGGCGCCCCGCCAAGGTCAGAGCCCCGCCAAGGTCGGCGCCCCGCCAAGGTCGGCGCCCGGCAAAGGTCGGCGCCCCGCCAAGGTCAGAGCCCCGCCAAGGTCGGCGCCCGGCCAAGGTCGGCGCCCGGCCAAGGTCAGAGCCCCGCCAAGGTCGGCGCCCCGCCAAGGTCAGAGCCCCGCCAAGGTCAGCGCCCCGCCAAGGTCAGCGCCCGGCAAAGGTCGGCGCCCCGCCAAGGTCAGAGCCCCGCCAAGGTCAGCGCCCGGCAAAGGTCGGCGCCCCGCCAAGGTCAGAGCCCCGCCAAGGTCGGCGCCCGGCCAAGGTCAGAGCCCCGCCAAGGTCAGAGCCCCGCCAAGGTCAGAGCCCCGCCAAGGTCGGCGCCCGGCCAAGGTCGGCGCCCGGCCAAGGTCGGCGCCCCGCCAAGGTCAGAGCCCCGCCAAGGTCAGCGCCCCGCCAAGGTCAGCGCCCGGCAAAGGTCGGCGCCCCGCCAAGGTCGGCGCCCCGCCAAGGTCAGAGCCCCGCCAAGGTCAGAGCCCGGCAAAGGTCGGCGCCCCGCCAAGGTCGGCGCCCCGCCAAGGTCGGCGCCCGGCCAAGGTCAGAGCCCCGCCAAGGTCGGCGCCCCGCCAAGGTCAGAGCCCCGCCAAGGTCGGCGCCCCGCCAAGGTCAGAGCCCCGCCAAGGTCGGCGCCCGGCCAAGGTCGGCGCCCGGCCAAGGTCGGCGCCCGGCCAAGGTCAGAGCCCCGCCAAGGTCAGCGCCCCGCCAAGGTCAGCGCCCGGCAAAGGTCGGCGCCCCGCCAAGGTCAGAGCCCCGCCAAGGTCAGAGCCCCGCCAAGGTCGGCGCCCCGCCAAGGTCAGAGCCCCGCCAAGGTCAGAGCCCGGCCAAGGTCAGAGCCCCGCCAAGGTCGGCGCCCGGCAAAGGTCGGCGCCCCGCCAAGGTCGGCGCCCCGCCAAGGTGAACGGTCTGTGGGGGACCAGAGGTCACTCTGCGGCTGGAATCCAAGGTCATTTTGTGAAGAACCTCCCCACGCAAAAGCAAATGGTGCCCACGCCGCGTAGCGAGGGCGAAGGCGCTGGACGGAATTCTGAGATTGAGCAGCCACAGCGCAGGAAAGGCTACATGTTCTGAGCATGCGCACCTTCCCCGTTCCGAGCATGCGCAATTTTCTTCTCCACGTTCCGAAGGTTTCTTCTACACATTCTGCGCATGCACACTTTACCTGTTCTGAGAGCATGCGCATTTCGCCGCTACACTTCTGAGCCTGGTTTTCCTGTACTGGTTCTGAGCACGTGTTGTTCGCCTCGATACATTCCAGGCATGCGCAGTTCTGTTCTATACATTCTGAGCATGCGCAGTTCTCTTCCATACGTCCCACGCATCTGCAATTTCTCCCTGATGGAACCCTTGGGGACCAGATACCCTCGCATGCCAAGGGTCGGCCGGTTTGTGACAAAGGACAGCAGCCAGTCTGTCTTCATATAAGATTTTACCCTGGACCAGGGCTAAAGCTCCCATGAGGCCAGGTCAGGACTAACCTTGCTAGGGCGGAGGTTGCATCCTAGACAGACGCTGGTGGCTCACGCCTGTAATCCTAGCTACTCAGGAGGCTGAGATCTGAGGATCGAAGTTCAAAGCCAGCCTGAGCAGAAAGGTCCATGAGATTCCCCCCCCCCCCCCCCAGGGCTGAGGACCAAACCCAGGGCCTTGCACTCGCCAGGCGGCCCTTTCCACTGAGATAAACCCCCAGCCCTCCATGAGACTCTTAATCTCCAATTAACTATTCAGAAAAAGCTGGAAGTGGCTCTGTGGCTCAAGTGGTAGAGCACTAGCCTTGAGCAAAGAAGCTCAAGGACAGTGCCCAGGCCCTAAGTTCAAGCCCCAGGACCAGCACCCTCTTTCCCTCCCTCCCTCTCTCCCTCCCTTCCTCCCCCACCCCTGCCGATCTGCACCCAGACAGGTGGGACAAATCACCAGGGGCTCTAACTACTGAGCCAACGGTAGTTAACATCCACTTAACATCCACCATCCCCATTTAGGAGATGGGGAAATTAGATGAGTCCAGGATCCAATGGTGAAGTCGCACCAAGGACCTGAAGCTGACACACCTGAAGTCCCTCTCTGCCTCTGATGCCAGAGATGGGAATGCCTGAGTTCAAACCCTAGTACCACTGGGAAGGAAAAGAAAAAGGAATGCAATGAAATGATCAGCGCAAGGGCTCCCTGGGGATTGGTTCTGTTGGCTTCCAGCTCCCCAGGTCACCGGCAGATCTATTCATCTCATTGGTCATTTATTCAGTGGGGCTTGGGGATGGGCAGGAGGCTCTGGGGACTCAGGAGAGCCAGGCCTGGCCTCTGAGGATGGACACAAATGCATCGGGGCTCAGAAAGGTCAGGAGCATGAGGCTGTGAGCTGGGAGTAGCTGCTGTGGTCCTCTCTGGGACTGAGGTCAAGTTGGCTTGCCTGGGCATGGCCCTTACTCAGTAGAACCCGAGGAGGTAGGGGAACTGGGAATAGGCAAGGCTCTTTAGGTGGCCTTCAGCCCTGAGTTTAATTTCCCAGCACTACAATAGGACAAATAATAATCCTTCAGCTACTCAGGAGACTGAGATTCAAGGATCCAGGGTTGGAAGCCAGGCCAAGCAGGAAAAGTTTGTGAGACTCATATCCAATTAGCCACCAAAAAAGGTTGAAGTAGAGCTATAGGTCAGATGGTAGAGCTCCAGCCTTGAGTCAGAAAAGTAGGGACAGCACCCAGGTCCTGAGTTCAAATCTCAGTACTGGCACACACACACATGCAATAAATAAAACTTATCCTTAGCTAGGCACTGGTGGCTCATGCCTGTAATCCTAGCTACTCAGGAGGCTGAGGTCTGAGGATCATGGTTCAAAGCCAGCCCGGGCAGGAAAGTCTGTGAGACTCTTATCTCCAAAAAACACAGGAAAACCAGAAATGGCACTGTGGCTCAAGTGGTAGATTGCTAGCCTTAAGCTGAAGAGCAGAGGGACAGCACCCAGGCTCAGAGTTCAAGCCCCATGACCGACAGAAAAAAAAAAAAACTATCCTCAGATGTGAAACAGATGTGCATGGGTAGGATATATTTTATGATACCAGATTTCAAATTATAGTTTTAGAGCCACAGTCACAAAGCCACATGGTATTGGGACAAATAAAGACACAAATAACAATGGAACAGAAGACCCAGAAATGAAAACACACAGCTATAATCATCAGATCTTTGACAATAGAGCTCAAATACAGTAGAGAAAAAACAGCCTCTTTAATGAAGGGTGCTGATTTTTTTTTTTTTTTTGAACGTGGGGCTTGAACTGTAGGCTTGGGCTCTGACTCTGAGCTCTTCAGCTGAGGGTGAGCCCACTCCCACTTGAGCCACAGTGGTATTTCTGGTTTTCTGGTGGTTTATTGGAGATAAGAGTCTCACAGACTTTCCTGCCCAGGCTGGCTTTGAAGCATGATCCTCAGACCTTAGCCTCCTGAGTAGCTAGGATTACGGCTGAGTGGGGCTGAATTTTGATTTTGATTTATTTTATTTTATTTTTTGGTGTTGGTCTGAGGCTTGAGCTCTGGGCTGCATGCTCTTATTTGGTTCTTTCACACAAGGCTGGCACTCTACCACTTGAACCATACCTTCACTTCCAGCTTTTTGCTGGCTAATTGGAGATAAGAGTCTCAGGGACTTTCCTGCTTGGGCTGGCTTCTCACCAAGATCCTCAGATCTCAGTCTCCTGAGTAGTTAGGATTGCAGGCATGAGCCACCGGCGCCAGGCAGATGAATATTTTTGTTTTTGTTTTTAAGCTGTTCTGTCTTTCACAATAGAATGTTCCTGAACCATAGAAGGAATGGAGTCAGGTCTTTTGTGGCACCGTGGAAGAGGAGGATGTGGATCAAGTACGAAAGACAGATGTCTCCTGGTCTTGCCTGTGGAAGGGAAGGTGTTGAGCTCAGCGCAGAGGAGGGAGTAGGCGGGGAAACACATCCAGCGCCAGCCACCAGTCAGGACAGCAGACTGCTCCACTGACCGGGAGGGACAGTGACCTGTTACAATGAAATCAGCGCTTCATAAAGAACCAGAAGAGCGAGAGGACTGCGCAGGTGTCTCGGGGACCTGGACACAGGGGTGCCCCTCATTTGATGACTGCACTTTGTACACACACTTCCAATGATCGCGTGAACCCCAGACGTGCTGACCCTCATCGTGTGTAAGGAGAAGGTGTGGGCACAGCTCTGTGGTGAAGCAGGGTGGGCAGGGTGGCTGGCTGCCTGGACTCTCTCCCTGCGCTCATCTCTCCATTTCTGGAGACAGCTGCGCACCCCCCAGCGGGTGCAGACTGAGAGGTGTGTGTTGGAGGGGACTGGGGACCGTGGTTCTGGGGTGTGTGCTCTGAGACACAGCCAGCTGCGCGGGTGCCCCCCTGCAATCCTCATGTTCACTTTGAGAGGGAGCAAGGCCCCGGATCCTCCCGGAACAGGCCCCTCCATTCTTAGGACCCATTGGACATCCCCTCCTCAGAGCCCCCGCCCCCAGGGTGGCCCAGCTAGATTCTGTGGCACAGGAATCTGGGGACACAAACATTCGGCCTCGAGCAACCTTGAGACATGACTGGGCTGTCTGTGCACAGCCTGGACCCTGCACACACACGTCGGTGGGAGGGGCTGGGGGGGGGCTTCTCCGGGGTCCAGCCAGGGCCCAGGAGAGCTCAGAGTGGTCAGTGGAGGCAGCAGACTCAGAGAGGCAGAGTGGAGGCTGGAGCTTTCCTAGAAGGCCAGGAGTTGGTGGGAGGAGGGAGGGCGGGTCTGGGAGGGCCAGGGCACATTAGCCGCACACAGGCCCAGCTGGCCGGCTGTGCCGGACCATGAACTTGGCAGAGGGCAGCCCCCCGGGGGCAGAGCATGGCCTGTCCATGCACAGGGGCTCCCATGGGGGCCTCAGCAGATCGATGAGGGCAGCTGGGTCAACGGAGTCCAGAAGGCACTGGGGGTGAGACCCCGGCCAGGGCCCAGCGTGGGGACAGCTCTGTCTCCACTGGTCAGCCCCGGCCAAGCACCCCCCAGCCACGGGGACTTTGAGGAGAGACCGTGAAGGCTACCCTGCAAATTCTTATCTCCACCCCATTTCACCCAGGAGTGCTCAGAGGCGCTGGAGCGGCGAGTTTTGTAGTGCTGGTCCCTGCTTCAGAAGCCAATGGCTGGGCTCCAAACCCAGGCTCCGCCTCCCTCCTCTCTCTTTCCCTTCTCTCCCTCCTCTTCCTCCTCCCCCCCTTCCTCTTCCTTCCCTCCTTCCTTTCCTCCTCTCTTCCTTCCTCCCCTCTCTCTCTCCTGAGGATCTAACCCAGACCAGGGCATGCCCTCCCACACAGAGCTGGGCTTCCGGGAATCTTCCCTTCTTCTTGTCTGACACCATTCACATCTAAAGTGATCGTTTCCCTTTTTGCTTTGGCTGTGGGGAAGCTCAATACTAAATTCAGATGACAACTTGAGCAATTGTCTTGCCTTTATGGAGTTATTTTTCTTGGAGCTTAATGATCTGTTTCTATTTCCATCTTTATCAAATCTGTTTTGAGCCTTCCTTCCTTCCTTCCTTCCTTTCTTCCTTCCTTCCTTCCTTCCTATGCTAATAAGAGCTGCTCTGTAGGCAGCTGTGAAACAGGGTAGAGATCTATGGATAAAGAACTCCAAAGGTGCCGGGCGCTGGTGGCTCACGCCTGTAATCCTAGCTACTCAGGAGGCTGAGATCTGAGGATCGCGGTTCAAAGCCAGCCCGGGCAGGAGAGACCGTGAGACTCCTATCTCCAATAAACCACCAGAAAACCGGAAGTGGCGCTGTAGCTCAAGTGGTAGAGCGCTCACCTTGAGCTGAAGAGCGCAGGGACAGCGCCCAGGCCCAGAGTTCAAGCCCCACGGCAGACAAAAAAAAAAAAAAGAACTCCAAAGGCATTGCACCTAGTGATGAGCAGCAGTGGGTGGTCGGAGCCCACTGGGCAGGGGGTGGGGGGAAGGGGTGCTCCATCGAAGACTGGAACACACTTCCGGGGTGTGGCCTTGAGTTGAGGCTGAGGGCCCACCGGGAGCCATCCAGGGGCACTGAGGGCGCAGAGGAGGAGGCCTGG